GACAAATCTGAGATATTTCTCCAGGTGTACTCCAAATTGCAGATTCAGAAATTCTCAAAGCAGTTCAAGTTTCTGGGCTAGGGACAGACATTACACATAAACCAGTTTCAGTGACCAGAAACTGGTTTAAACCTATAACAGAACAGAATTTCAGTGCACACAAACCACTTTCAAAATGGCTGAAACTGGTTTTAAGATAAACCTGGTTTGAATGTAGTACCAGACTTAACTGATTTGGGTCAAACCAGTTTCCGAAATATCTGTCCCAGACCCCTTCCGGGTTTAACTTAAACCAGAGTCCCCCAGGATCCCAGATGCTTTGCAGCCCTGGGATGGGCTGTCTGCTCCAGAGAACAAGGCTAGCCCCGTTCCTCTGCTCCCTAGCCAGAGCTCTAGCAGAGACTGCACACACAGCAGGGTTTGCTTGGCTTCCACCTGCCCTCCCTCCCACCCCACACTGATCACTACTGAAGCAGGGATCCTCACCCTCCCTTGCATCTCCCATAGCACAGACCCCAGCCCCACAGACCCTGGGCATGTGGTACGCTAGCTAATGCTTGTGCGGGCCGGGAGTGGTCCGGGCCCTTTTTTGCGCCGCGCAGGCTGTGGCCAGCAGCCCGGGCATGCTGGGTTGGAGAGAACAGGCGACACGCTGGAATTAGGCACGGACACTTAATGGTTGATTCAAGATTGTTTACTTACACCGAAGATGGCCGCGGTGTAGGCTGGACAGTTTCCCAGGCACAGTTCCGCTTAAATCCTCATTTGAGGACTCAGACAATATTCGGATCACTCCTACAGAGTTGTCGAGGCTCCGTGGATCCTTTTGCGCGCAGGGAGAGGGATACGTCGAGGATTGCGATCGGTGACGGGGAGAGGCTAGAGGCTGATCAGACCCCTGTTGCCTGCTTGAAATGCACTGGGTCCAATAGGGTCCGCAGTGTTTAGAGATCTTCACACAGCGTGAAGTCTCCTCCTCCTGGTGTTCGTGGAGTCCTCCAACTTGGGCAGAAACCACTCAAGCCTTTTATACGGCTAGCAAGCCAATCGCTAGCCGCCACGTGTGAATAATTTCACGCAAGCCAATAATGGGGCTCGAATTAGAATACAAATGGCGGGAACTCTTTGCAAAGTGCATTTCTGTGCTGCAAAGAAGAAATGCACACTGCAAAGAAAGCTACAAATTGGCGGGAATTCTTTTGCACCGGGGTTTTCCTCTGCAGCAGAGAACTCCACCGTACAAAGAAGCTGCAATTTAGCGGGAACATAATTCAGTGGTGCCAAAGCACACACAAAACAAAAATCACACCTTTGGGTTGTGACAATGCTGAGAGGTGTCTGTACGTACGTCTCCAATTTCACTGGGATAGCCAGATAGAACAGTGTCTGCTTAGGGTTTTTTGGAACTAATCAACAGGTAGCTGGTAATGTCCCTCCCTTCCTTCCTTCCTTGGAAAAAGATGTTCAAGAAGAGCTTGAACTTATGAGAGAGGCTTTTGTTTTGTTGATGGGTTGCTAAACTGTGTGTTACCAGCTCTCTGCTGGCTCCCTTGCCTGTCAGGTTTACAGACAGTATGAAGAAGCAGGGAGAGGGAGATTGAAAAGCTCGGTATCATCAACAGATGCATTCAGTCCACACCCCCATTTTGTCTCAGAGTGCTAGCCAGACTCTGGCACACTCCAGCCTCTTGAGCGCTGAGCAGGGAAAAGGCTGGGATAGTGCAGGCAAGGTGAGGGTTTATACCCCTCCCTAATCAAAGTGTCCTGCCAGGGCCCGCCCTGCCCCTCCTCAGCTCAGTACTGTCGAAGGGGAGGGCTGCTCTAGCACCCCTTGGCTTCTAGCCTGAGCCAATGCAGGCATGTGCCTGCATTTCTTCAACCGAGGGAATGTGTACAGTTACAAACTGATTCAATCTAGGCAGGTGAGACTAACCTACAAAGATTGAATCAATTCAGGCTCAGGCTTTTTGATGTTCTGTCCCTAGCCTTAAGGTGCATTACTTACTTGTAAGTTAGTGTTCACCATGTCATCCAATAAATGACTCATATAATATTTTAAAAGGAGTTTCTGAACAAATAAAATTAAAGACAATGTTAAGGTAATGGATATAAAGGGAAAACACTAATGCAGATATGAACACACTGCCACACACAAGGCTGCATGCATGCTTTTTAAGACATAGTCCAGTTTACCCAGGAGTCCAGTTTAATAGTTGCTTTAAAAAAAAAAGCAGTTTCATATCATCATCTTAGATGTACCAGTTCAGTGGTTCTCAACCTTTGGCACCTTAAGTACCACCAACCTTTTGTCAAAAAACCCTGGTCACACCATGATAAAAACAAGACCCCACTGTTTGAGATATCCATTCATTCATCTATTTGACGTACAAACAATTTTGATTTTTTCTAATTGGGAAATTAGTCGAACTCCCACCTACACAACCTTCGTGTCCCACTAGTTGAGAAACACTGGACTAGTGCACCTGCTTAGGAGTATGTAAAGAAAGTTACATTCAGTAAGTTACATTGTAGCTTATTCCAATTCCAACAAAAGAAAAAATAACGGAAGGAAAAAAGGCTGTAAATGTGTTCACAAACACTTTATATTCCATGATTCACCTAGCTGGAAACTGAAATCCTTCATTTGTATAGCTTCTGGGAAAGGTATCAGTCAGGTGGAGTATTGCAATGTGTCATACCATTCCTTAAATCTTTCAGTGACACTTTCCAACAAATTTCCACCTATCCAGAAGCTGAAGAACCTCTTCCAAGACTTGAAGACCACTGACCTGGCAACCAACTGCCAAAAGGTCTGTAGGAAACCACAACTGGCTGATCGGACAAATCTGAGATACATTCTCCAGGTGTAATCCAAAGCGTAGCAGCTCTTCAAAATGTTAAGGATAACTGAGAACATTTTTGAAATGTAAAACAAGGCGGCAGTTTATTTAGATGGCCAACTTAGCCAAATTATGAGCCATATCAGGCATAAAAAGTCAATTTCCAATATGGTCAATTTTCTTTACATTGGTGCCAATGCGATATCAAACCGATGTACCTCTAATTATTAATATATTAAAATGAATACAGAAAATCATCTGTAATCACTGTGGGAGCACTGTGCATACATTTATTCAAACTAGGTAGTTCCTTTTAATGGTATATTTATCTGATGATCATATGAGTATCTATCTACATGAAATGAGTAATATAGCTCCTTGCAATAACAGAGTTAACTGCAAGTGTCATATATACTTTGCACACATATTTGTGATTTTTACAGCTGCCTGACAACACCCTTTAAACATAAAATGCTGGAGCTACAGCAGCTATCCCTAAAGAAAGAAATAGTTTAAAAAAAGATGTGAAGACTGCTTAGCATAACAGTGTGACAGTGCATCCAGCAGCAGGTGAGGTTTCATTTCCAGTGAGTCACAATTTTAGATTCAGATTATTATTGTTGTTATTGTTATTAATAAAATAATAATAACAATAATAATAATAATAATAATAATAATAATAATAATAATGTCATCAGATTAAGCTTATTTTGCAGGAAGAAGTAAAGTGAAAGCATCCAGATGTAGATCAGACTGTTTTAAAAAGCTACCAAATATATATATTAAAAATAAATACAATTGATGAAAGTCTTCACTTTCATTTAATTTTTATGTGCAATTCTGAGTTGGATGTCTGGCACCATTTCAATTCCATTTTTTCATAATACTGACATATGGTCATATTTTGAGAATTCCATCCATTTTTGTTAAAAATCAAATAAAAAGCTTTTGCTGAGCTGTGACTCTCATGTATGACAGAGGCATTGGGTCTTTTGTAAAATCCATTAGGTTTTCTCATTTATCATGGAAAAAAGTTATTTTAGTTTTAAAAGGGACATGGAAACCTTTGAAGAAAAATCAGGTCTCCAGTACTAGACCATTTACAGCCAAAGGAACTCCTGCCATTATGGACTCCATGCTTTTTAAGAGCTGATTTGCAGTTTTTCCAAGGAACTGAGTTGTAGAGTTAAGAACAAGTATATTTGATTATATATGGATTTGTAATTTATTTTCCACAGAGCTGTTGTTTTTTGTTGCCTCCCCCAGCTCTCTACAATTTTAAATCGTATTACTTAAGATGAGACACTGGTATTATGAAGCTTGATTGTGATAGAGCTTTCTCCACATTTAGTATTCTCCTTTGGCCTAGAGCCTGTCAAGTTTTTAAGAAATTTGTAAATACAAATGAATGATTTATTATTGTGTTGAAAGATTTGTTGCTTTTATTGTGTACTTGTTATTGTCAAAACATTGTGTTGTGGTAACGGTATATTTTTAATGGATATCAGGGGGTAGAGTTTAATAAATTCTCTTTATGCAAGGGTAGAGATACTAATTTAAAAAGTGAAGCAATTTACATCTGAATAAAATAAGACTAAGCTACTGCAGTTTATCTTCCAATGAGAGCAGTGGATGCAAAGTCTACAACTTCCCCATTTATCATCTCAAGATACTGACAGATGAACAAACTATATTAAGGGGGAAAGTTGCAATATCCAATAACTTTTTTTGCCTAATGGCAACTTTCCAAAAAATACCATCTAGATGTGTTAGATTAAAGTGAGTGCTAATCCTTATATCAAATAGAGGAAAAACATACACTTGATCTTAACCTGGAAGAGTCAGAGAAACAGTAGGATTTGTAGTCAAACAAATTTTAAATAGAAAAAGATGTGTTACTGATTCACATTTTTTCAGGGTAAAGCTAGGAATTCCTTAACTATAATACTAGATGATATTCTAAATCATAAATAAGACAAGCATATTATAGCTTATGTGCACATACTTGGAAGTATTCAAAACATGAAACACTAGAAATAACTGCAGCTTTAACAAAAAACCCCAAACAAACAAAACCCTTTAAAGTACCATTAAGTGCATACATTTACGTTAAAAAAATCCGGATGAGTTTAAAACTTTGACGTTTTAATTTTATTCTGATTTTTTTTTTTTTTTTTTTTTTTTAAGTCAATAGTAAATACTTCCCTTATTCTGAAGTTTTGCTCAAACTGATCACTGGGCATAAAAGAAAAAGAAGAGATGTAATGATTTGGATGAAGGGAGAGCAGATTAAGTTTTAAATAGTGAATCTTCACACTGTACAATGTTAACTGTTTTGTCAAGAAGTTTGGTTTCTAACTGACTGAAGGAAGCTTCAGTTGCAACCATGCAGCATTTTTACTGTTTTTGACAACACTGACTACTAGCATCTATTTCCTCCCCAAAAATCCACAGGCAGCAGGAACTTGACAGTTTATATATAATAAAGCAGTACTTTTTGCAGTGCATTCTGAATATTATTCACCTTTTACATCAAAGTTAGTTCCAAAGAAGTAAGGACAAGAAATAAACATACACCAATAGTTGCTTACAGCATTACACTGTCTTGTATTTAAAAAGACACATTAAACACTGAATACCATGCACATATAGACATTACAAACTACTGAAATTAATTGTTTTTTAATAAGGTGAAATTACTACGTTGCCCTAAAAAGTCTCAAGTCTAGCTAGATAAATGCTATAAAATTAAAGAAAAACTGGCAAAATGTCATCTCTTTCTAACAAGAAAGAAAGTGTCAACTATAATGTTCATTCTGAAATCGAGGAGCAAAGTTTCTGGCACTTTCACTCTCTTGTGTTGTGATTAAGTCTATAATGGCTGTCAGGACTGCTGTGTCCCTGGATTTAGTGTCATTCCAGTCCACAGGGTGCGGGTTTTCAATTTTCTCTTGGAGAAGGTCATCTAGTTCACTTCTTAAATTCTGCGGATAAAACAAAGGGGTTTTTTTTGGAGTAAAGACGACAGCCAACCTAGAATGCTGCAAACAATTTAATGTTATAACACAAAGGTAAGATTACTTAGACCATCAGTTTTTCAAAAGATAATCATCATATCCTTGATAATTCTTTACCTCAAACATTTCAACACTTCCATTTGTAGTAGATGTGAAGTTAACATGGCTTCCTTAAGTCTGGCAAAAAATTATACCAGAATGGGTCAGTAGACAAACAAGTTGAATACAACCATTGATCATATTGCTGCTTTCATCAGAGATCCCCGAATAAAAATGGTCATGCTGAATTTTAATGTCTGGCCATTTCATTTATGGCAAACTTGAAAAAAAAATGCTATTGACTTTAAATACTCTTTGAAGTCTTGCACTCAAATTATTTATTTCTGAAATGCATGGAAATAAGACTAAAGGCACGTCTCAAGGACCAGGACTTACTACTTCCCGCTCAGAACATGTGCCATAAGTAAACAAATAAGTTAATAAAATCATTGCTAGCCTTAGAATTATTAACATTTGAAAGATCTATAAATCATGAATCAGAGATTCAATGAACTATAATTCCAGCTAAAAGCCTTAAAACTATTTGAAAACAGATGAATAGATTAAGGCCAGTTTTCTAGCACAGGACTTCCCTGAATTCTTGCTTAGATTCCAATATCTGTGGTTGAGCTACGGTACATCTTTTAGAGAAAGATCCCATCTTGATTTAGAAAATCCTTGTTATTGTTCCAATGCTTCATTTACAGTCAATTTTTTTCTAAGAAGAAGTTTTCTACATTACATTTCCAGACATTTAATTTTATTGGACCTTTCCCTGATAAGAAACCCAATAACAAAACGTGTTTTCGCCATGTAGATAACTACTGACTGATCAAGGCACTTCATAACTTCCTCTTTCATAGGGAAGTTTCTCACAATAAGGCAGACCTTTAAATCCTTTACTTATTCTTTTTATGTACCCTCTCTAACTCTACCTCCCCACGCCCACACCTCAAACTTCTTTAAATTTTGAATGCACTATTTCACTTTTGCATAATTACATCTCAGTGAAACCAGGTAACAAATCTTCCTACTTGTACATGATAGTACAAGTATACCATACTCTTTTTGCCATAAAACGAATCTCATTAGCCCTTTTGCTCTGTTATACTAAGAGCTGATGTAAAAGATTATTTGTCAAAACCCCCACTATTTTTCCTAGAGTCAATGCTTCTTAAGATAGAGTACCCCATCATGTGAATGTCCTGCATTCTTTGATTCCAGATGTCTAAATGCTATAGAACATTTATTGCCTAGATTACCAGACAACCTGGACCAGTGGTTCTCAATCATTTTGGAATGGAGACACCCCTCATAAAATGCTAGCTCTTTGTTTTCACTTGTTTTTTTGATTATGGAAAAATAATACCACAGTTTTTCTGTTGCAAAGAACTCAGACTAGAACAGGTCACAATATTTTTTTAACACTATGAATTCCTATTTGAAATCTCTGGGTTTAACCTGTGAATCATGTCTGCACACCTAAAAGTGCTAACAATTACATGGCAATCTGGATCACCCTTGAAAGAAATCAAGACACCTCAGAGTGCTGTGTGTGACACATTTGGTTGAGAATCACTGACCTAGACCATTCTGCATCTGTGATTTTTACTACTACTGGAATTTAATACATGTGCAAATTTGCAATACCAATTGTTTTCTTCCAGAACATCAATACAATTATTAAATAGCACATGGCCAAGATTCCTATTGCACACCACAATTTATTTATGAAACACAAACAAACAATTATCCATAGCAATACTCCAAAACATGCCAATTATCACCTTGACTAGTTGGGCTATCCTTGCAGGAGACTGAAAGACAATCCATTCATCCACAGCAATAGTATCCTGATCGTTATCCTTCTGAATGGAAATATCTCCTCCAAAGAACAAGAGACAGTATGGAGAGACTTCTGTACAATCATAGAGGTAAATCTGCAACAAGCCAAAAGTATGTAGCGACGCTAAGCAGCAAATTAATCCACCCAAAATGACAGTGCTATATCACTAATACAAGTCAAAGAACACCAGAGATCATGTCTTCAGAATCATTTCTCAATCAATAAAATAGTAATTATATGACTTAAAAAATATATATAATAGCTTCATTTGAACTGTTACAGAAGAATAGAAGCCCAGATTGCTAACAGTTTTCCTTGGCAAAAAGTTCTGAAGTCAAAGCTACAACCTTTTGGAGCAAACTTTTACATTAAGACACTTGACACAAGTCAATTAAAGTAAAGGAATGATCTTGTTAGCAATAATTAGTATATTATTACAGTTATCTCAACCTATTAGGTATGAAATGAATTATTATAACTGTAGTCACCAAGGAACTAAATCTGAAGAGCCACAAAGTTCAAGGGAGGACGAAAAAGGGCATACTATAAAGCAATTTCTATCTGGACAAGATAGGTGCTTAGACGTTCCTCTTATCCTTTAAAGGAAAGAGGGAGCCTAACAAATGCGTATAAAACCAAGAGAGAACTACGAAGAGGGAAAATATGTATTAAGAAGGGATTGGAAAGTTACAGAAGATAGAGAGAAGCCAAAAGGAATAGGGGGAGCAAAGGAATAAACAGACATCTTGGAAGCTGAGATAAGGGGGTAAAGAAGAAAGTAACAAAAGAAAGAAAAATCACTAAAGTGCAATTTGCAGCAATAAAGTCTATTACCTCCGTGGATTCAGACACATACTTTCTATCAACTCAGAGGTTAACCTACCATTTCAAAAAGTGGTAACTACAGTTAAACAGGCTACTCAGAGTACAGATTAAAATATTAATGCGCAGAATTTCTTTGAAAAGGGATTTTACATTTGGCATCAGTCCAGGTAGTCACCCCTTTTACATGTGCACACACTTTGTTGTTTTTTTTAAACAGCATGTTCATTAAGACAAAGTAAGCTGAGATGCTATGCTGATGAGTAGTTATAATAAAGTGTTACAATCATTACAAAATGCAATAGTGCAGGGGTCGGCAACCTCCGGCATGCATGTCGAGCATGGCATGCGAGACCGTTTTCCTTGGCACATGTTGGGACCAGGGAGGCAGCAGCTGTTTGCAGCCTCCCGGCTGCAGCCAGCCCCAGCTCTGGGTAGCTCAGGGGTGGACAAATTACAGCCCACGGGCCAGATCCGGCCCACGAGGCCATTCTATCCAGCCCGCAGGGCCCATAAAGAATTTAGAAAATTAGTATTTATCGGTCTTTGGTTCCTGTCAAAAGTGACAGGAGCCAGAGGCAGTAGGACCCAGGGGAAGCCCAGCAGGCTCCAGCAACAGCAGGGCCTGCCCGGCCCCCCAGCTGGAAGCCTCAGGAGGGGCTTCAGGCCTGGGACCACGTGACTGCACTGTGCTGGAACCTCAGGTAAGGGGGGCGGGGGGCAAGGGAGGGAAGAGGGAAGGAGCCTGGGGAAAAGCGGCCCCTCCCCCACCCCATGGCCAGTGCTCTCCCTCCTGCAGCCACTCTCAGCCCGCGTGGGGCTGTCCTGAGCGCACACAGGCAGCCCCAGGCTGGCTGCGAGCAGCTGCAGAACCGAGCACGGGGCGGGTGAGGGGCTGCTTTTTCTGCTCTCAGCACCAGCTTGTAACCCACCTCTGCTGCCAGCCTGGGCCCCACGCCAGCGCTGGCTCACCCGTCAGGGCTGCGCCACAGCAGCAGTAGGTATGGCGCCCCCCGCTTGCTGTGCCGGGCACTGTTTGCTGCTGCTGCTTGCCCAGAGCTCGCACACTTGCCAGCACAGAGGCGGCGGTGGCAAACACTGCCTGGTGCGGCAAGTGGGGTGGCCGCAGCAGAGGCAAGTTACTCAAGCTGGTGCTGAGTGCTGGAAAAAGGCCCCTTGCCCACCCCATGCGTGGTACTCTGTGCTGCAGCTGCTCAAAGCCCACATAGGGCAGCCTGTGTCTGCTCAGGACAGCCCTGCGTGGGCTGCGAGCGGCTGGGGAAGGGAACGCCGGCCACAGGGCGGGGTAGGGGCCGCTTTTCCCCATGCTCAGCACCAGCTTGTTCTCTGCTGTGGAGCATGGGGTTGAGGCAGCACACTGCCCCTGCCTGTACCGCGGGCCTGGGGGGGTGGCACTGGGAGTGAGCGGGTGCACAGGGCCCACACCGGTGTCCCAGGGCCAGCACCGGCAGGGCCCAGAGGAGGGCTGCAGGAGTACAGGGATCCCAGCTGGCAGGAGCTCTATGGAACCAAGCCAGCTCCCCCCCTCTCTCTGCTGGTGCAGCCCAGCCTGGCTCCACAGACCCCTGTCAGACTGTGCTCTGCTCTGGGCCCCACCGGCGCTGGGCCCAAGACACTGGGACATTGGTCCCAACATGGTGACCAGAGGGCGGGGCTACCTGTGTGGCCCTCGACAGCTTGCCAAAACTGGGTAAGCAGCTCTCCACCCGCAATAATTGCCCGCCCCTGGGGTAACTGCTGCCAGCCGGGAGCCTGGGCTGCTCCCAGTAGGCAGCTGGGACACTGCAAGCCCTGCTGGGAGCACCCTGGGCTCCACGGCTATCAGCAGGTACCCAGAACCGGGGCCAGCTGCAGCCATGAGGCTCCAAACAGCTGCTGCCTCCCCGGCCCCAATGGGTACAGTGCCAGCACCTGCTGCCCTCCTGGAGCCTGGGGCCGGGGCAAGAGGGCAGCAGCTGTTTGTTGCCTCCCGGCTGAAGCCAGCTCCAGTTCTGTGTAGTTGCTGATAGCCATGGAGCCCAGGCTGCTCCCATGGAAGCTCTGCTGCAAGCAGCCCGGGCTCTGTGGCAGTCAGCAACTACCCCGAACCTGGACCAGCTGCAAACATCTGCTGCCTTTCCACCCCAGCCCCAGACTCCGGGGAGGCAACACATACCACCAATGCTCCCCACTGTGCTGCCCTCGCCGTTTCTGCAAAGCAGCGTTGGAACCCAGCGCAGCAGGGCACAGAAGGGGGGTGCAGAAAGCTTCTTGCTCCAAGCTCCCCGCTGCCCTGCCACACTTTCCCCGCAGGCAGGGGCAGCAGCGAGGGGCACAACCCTGCGCTGCTGCCCACGCTGCTCCCATGTACACAGGGGAACTGTGGCAGGGGAGCGGGGAGCTGGGAGCAGGTAGCTTTGTGCCCCCCGCTGTGCCCTGCCGCACCAGGTTCCAACGCTGCTTTGCAGAAGCAGCAAGGGCAGCACAGCGGGGGACACTGCCGGTATGTACTGCCTCCCCGGAGCCCAGGGCCGGGGCGGAGGCAGCAGATGTCTGCAGCTGGCCCAGCTTCTGGGTAGCTGCTGACAGCTACGAAGCCCAGGCTGGGGGGCAGAGGCACAAGCAGGGCATCCTTCCATATACCCCCTGCCCTCATTTTGTTTTTCTGGCATGCCGGCACTCCGACACCGTCCGAGGTAAGCATTGTGAAGGTTTTCGGCACTCCGGTCAAAAAACGTTGCCTACCCCTGCAATACTGATTTGATTTTAACAAAATGACTTTTCATCTTGTTAATATAGTATGCCAACAATTTTCACACCAAATGCAAAATGCTGCTTTTAAGAATTTTCTTTACATGGTGTCAAGTGCACTGACAGGTACAGTAAGGAAACAGAATTGTTCACTTACACTGCTGGTTCTCATCTTCAGATGATAAACGAGCCAGTTATAATGGAACTCAGCTTCTTCCACATTAACAGATTTAGGATGAATGTTAACAGTTCCATCTGGCTTGGTACAAACTTTAACCCTTTAAAAATTAAAAAAAAAAAATTAAAGGCAATAAGATCTTTGAAGTGTCAGAAAAGATACGTCTGTATTTTAACAAAAAATATAAAGCCTTCTCAAGTTGTGTACTACATACATTTCAATTTTGAAAATAAATGTATAAAAAGAGTCCCCTTTAAGAAACTATCTGCTTAAAAAAAAAAAAAAAAAAAACAACAACCACATGTAAGTGGTTAAGCTGTCATTTGCTCTCGAAATCAGAAAAATACTATTATTTATATTTAGCAACTATTAATTTTGTATAAAAAGCATTTGACATTTTCACCTTTTCCAAAGAGGCACTTATGAGTTTGCTTAGGAACACTTGTACACAAAACAAGCTGCCAAAGAATTAATGGAAAAAGCATATTAAATCAGCTTGAGCTCTCTGCGTGGCAACTGTATTAGATATAGAGGACAGAGTATAAAACAATATATTACTAATACCACTAGTGACCAACCAAGGGGGCTCAAGAAAGAACAGCCACATTTGGTCACAAAGGCAGGTGTGGTAATTTAAATCCACTTCCTGAAATCGGAGATTCAAAGGGAACAAAGAGGGAAAAACCAACTACAAGACGCTCGCAAAGAAGTTTTTCCTCCTTCATAGAGCCTGAGGATAGATACTTCAAGATAGCAATTGCAGTTGTGGTTCATAAAACCCTTTTGGCTACTGGTATGTAGAAGGGAATGTTTTGCAAAGTAAGGACCTGGGGCTTTGCAGAGACAGACAGAGAAACTTGCTTTGGAAGCAGTCCAGAGAATGAATACTGTTTCAGCAGATTTGTGAGAGGAAGCCTTCCTAATACAAGTTCAACTAGCACCACCAGGTGGCAGAAATGCAGGTTGCAGTACTCTATACTGTTGAAAGCATAAACTACAAAATACATTTCTAGGATTGGTTTAATCAGTGTTCTGACTTTGCAAAATTGTAAAGGTTCACGATTCCCTTCCTTCCCAGGCAAGGAAACAAGACTCAGTTCAGGTTTTCATAGAGGTTACAACATGAGCTGGTATACAGTGGAATCCAAACTAGTCTCTATTTTTCTCTTTTCACTGAGCTAAGCAACTAATAGTTTGCATGTTACTTGCCATATCATTGTTCCTTTGTGCCAAGCATGGGTAATGCTAAGTGCACAATCCATGCAGTTCATATGAGGCAAAGAAATTAAGAAATCATGAACTAAAGACCAGATCTGTTTGGATCTTTTTCTAAACAGTGAGGGGGAAAGGACAAAGCATTAAACATCAAAAGTGACACTGAAGAGAAAAAATAAACAGGACAATCTGACAGTTGCAATTTTCTGTATATGTAATATACTTCCATACAGCATTGCCAGGGAACCTTTAGATGCACTGCCAGGTCTCCAAAACTTAACATTAAAGTGACTTGCCATCTCTCATAGGTTCAGGATTGCTGATTTACATCAAGAAAACAAACAATAAATTAAGTAACCTATAAGTACAATTAACTGGACAGATTATTACATTTTGCCCTTAAGGTACTTTCAATACCTATAAAACTATCTTTGCAGTAAACCTGAATATAAACAAATGGACTTTCACATCAAACCCTTACATTTTTCTCTTCTTGCTAAAGCTTGGCCGGATCTTTGCAACTTTTGGATATAAACCAGCACAGATGACTGCCTTGAGCAACTTCTCATTATCTGTAGAAGACAACAAAGCAAGCAATGCAGTTTTGTAAATAAGGAGTTTAACTTATCTAAAACCCAGCATCTCTTGCTGTTTACCTGAGTTGGTATTAGATTTTGGATCTTTGGGGTCTTTACTATTCACAAACCCAGCTGCTAGGAGATGTTCAGCAAATTGCCCTTTCATATTATGCAGCATCTAGGAAGGAATGTCAAGTAATAAGTATTCTTCTGGAATTATACTGTCACAGAGTTTCCCCTAAAAACAATGCTTCCTAACATGACACACTTAAGATATTACCTGGAGTGTATTTGAAGACAGAAAATACTCCCAGCAGTAGTCTTTTTCATTTCGGTAGCCACGCCGCCGAGCCTCTTCCCAGCCCTGGACACAAAAGTATTTTGAACTGTAGTTCTTTAAAGGACAAATTACTCTATTTATTTTATATATATACACATGCACACACATATTAATACTACATTTAATTATACATTTAATTCTTTGTATTATAATATTTGTATTTACTTTACACATCCACATCATGCATACAAGCATATGCAAGAGAGCCAAGAATGGCAGAAAGGTTTTTAAAATTTATGTTTAAAAGATCAAGCACAATGCTAGTCCCTAGAATGGGTTCTTTTACTTTTTAGGTACCAGCCAGATAAAGAGAAAAGAGTATGGATTCCAAGCTATTGTACATATTTTGTTTTCCGAGTATATTTTCAGGAATGGAAAATTCTTTAGGACTGCTATCTAACTGTTGCTAATTTACTCTATTTACTGTAAGTAACAGTTCCTGATAGCCCGAGCAGACTGATGTAAATGTGTAAGAGGACTTTAAAGTTATGCATTCCCCTAGTTTCCATCTCCACAAGGGTACAGTTAAAGGAAATTTTAAAACTTGTGCAGTCAGACCCAGCCCCTGCAGAGGCCAGGTGAAAAGTCACTGACTTTGAAGGAAGAACAAGCAGAAGCATAACAAGATTCTTACTCTTCTACCCAATACAAAAATCACATATTTAGTAGAGCTGTGCGAAATTTAGCCGCCAGTTTTGTTTCAACACTGTTTCGACTTGTTTCAAAGTCAAAATGGCGAAATCGAAACAGATATGGTCAAAACAGCCTCGAAACAAAACAAGACTGGCAAAACGTTTCGCCATTTTGCCCATAGACTATAATGGGGAAGGCTGAAACAGCCTATAACTTTGTCATTTCTGGCCTGATCTGGATGCAACTTGCACTAATGGTAGCCTCTTCTGAGGGCACGAAGCCTGCCCGTTTCAAGGAGAGAGATGCAGGGGGTTTGGGGAAACTGCACCCCAAAGTCTTGAAAGCAAAACTAGTGTCATGTGTATGTGTTAAAATACAACGGGGTCAAGACTGCAGGCCTGCTAGGCCCTGCTGCAGCCACAAAGCCTGCCAGCTATTACGGAGATAGGTGCAAGGTGGTTCTGGGGCCCTGCAACCCTAGCTGCCAACAGGCAAAACTTGTGACATGGCTGCTTGTGCAACTGCTGCCTCTCATCAGGCAGCAGGACTGAAAATCCCCCATCACTTGCCACCACAGACCTGCGGGTAATAACTGACCACAGTATGAACATGAGCCAGTAGTGCAATGCTGTAGCCAGCAGGGCCAACAATACCATGGCATGCATTAATTGATGCAGCTCCAGCAAAACCACTGCAAAGAAGTGATTCTCCTGCCTTACTCGGCATTGGTGAGACCGCAGCTGGAGTACTGTGTCCAGTTCTGGGCTCCACACTTTAACAAGGACGTGGTAAAGCTTGAGAGAGTCCAGAGAAGGGCTACCCATCTAATAAGAGACTCGCACGGCAAGCCATATGAGGAAAAGCTGAGGGACCTGGGACTCTTCAGCCTGAAAAAGAGAAAGCTGAGGGGGGACTTGGTAGCAGCTTACCGCTACATCAGAAGCGTACACCTAGGGCTCGGTGAATAACTGTTCACCAGGACACCTGAGTGGGAAACTAGGAGTAATGGCCACAAACACCTGGAAGATTTTTCTAATGTTGAGCCTGAAACAAACTACTTCACAACTAGGGTGTCCAGACTGTGGAATAAGTTCCCTCCAGAGGTGGTGCGATCACCTACCCTGGAAATCTTCAAGAGGAGACTAGACAGTCACCTTCCTGGGGTCACCTGACCCCCAGTTATCTTTCCTGCTTGGTGCAGAGGACTGGATCTGATGATCTCCCAAGGTCCCTTCTGGCCTTACAATCCGAGTGGCTGGAGCCTAAGTCTTAGGAGATATGGCTTTGAAACCGTTCTTCCAGAGCAAGCTCGGTCAAGTTCCTTAGCCTCCCTGAGCCTCACCTAATTGTCATAACCCAATCGTATACTTAGACTTCAGGAAGGCCTTCGATACGGTATCCCACCCCATATTGATGAACAAGTTAAGAGGCTGTGACTTGGATGACTACACAGTCCGGTGGGTGGCGAATTGGCTGGAGGGTCGCACCCAGAGAGTCGTGGTGGATGGGTCGGTTTCGACCTGCAAGGGTGTGGAAAGTGGGGTCCCACAGGGTTCGGTCCTTGGACCGATACTCTTTAATGTCTTCATCAGCGACTTGGACGAGGGAGTGAAATGTACTCTGTCCAAGTTTGC